CACACCAGCCATTGTATTCTGGCTGTGAAAGCCTTCGACAATCAAAGAAGGGGATGTTTTTTATTTGTGGACCTTCAGGCATGGGATTGCCCAAAACCTGCAAAACTTAGCCTTTTTAAACATGGGGCCTGCCACATTCAAGCAGTGATGGTGCTGGGCTAGAAACCGGGAGACTAGGAGTTCTAGCCCTCCCACCGAAGCTGGCTGGGTGACTTTGGGGTGGTCCTTTTCTCTCAGCCCACCGCATGAGCTATTTATGGCTGGGTTATTTATTTAATTTACGTACAGGCCACCTGACTCCTACACGACTCTGGGTAGCTTACAGCTAAAAAGCAAACATACAAAAAAAAACACTCGATCAGAAAAGCAAGATACCAAAACAGAACCAACACAGATCAGACCAAAACAGAAGGGGTATACAAAATAAATAGTAGTAAGTAAATCCTTTTTTTTCCTTCCCCAAAAGCCAGTTTTTTTTTCACTTTGTATATAAAATGGCTTTGAGTATGTGTTGTTGTGGGAAAAATAGGAGGCATAGCATTATGTACTCTACCTTGAGTTGCACATGGATATAAGTGGGATATAAATGTAATATCAGCCAGCACAACAACCTCTGTTATATGTTGTAAGGATTGTAAAATAGGAATACACAGATCAAATAGGAATGAATGTCTCCGGAATGTTATGAGGCCAGTTCTTCTGGGGATAAATGCCTATCTGACTCCCTCCACACTCATTCATTTCCAGACCCTTTACTGTGGACATACTCCCTTGCAACTGTGGGCATATTTGTGGTTTATTGTATGATAAACTGGTTAATGCTGGTTAATGCTGACCTAGGTTAGTATTCCCCCCCCCTTTTTTTTGTCTTCCTCCCTGGTGTGAATCCTGTCTGTTGGATTCATTTATGATTTAGTTTATGGTTCTACATATGTCAGCCTTGCGAGGTAGACCAGACAGGAAACACAGCCAGATGAGCTAATTCTACTTTATTGTAAGGTGACATTGACAGAATCTTGCAAGTCTGAAAATACAATTCCTGCACCCCCCCCATCTCCTTTACAGCCCAAGAAACCAGGGAGGGTCCCTTCTGAGCCTCTTGCCCCACGCACTGTGTTCCTGTGGGCTATGCTGTCTCTTATCTGACTGTTCCCTTGGCTGCATCTCTGGGCCCAGTCTCTCAAGGTCATTCCTGCATACTGCTACATCCTATTGTGCAAACAGAAATGGTTAAACATGCTTTGTGTGAATGCAGCCAACATGTACCAATCAAGCTTCCTTTTCTTCCTTTGCTTCCCCTCCTTTTGATTCCTGAAACACAGAACTGGTTCCACACCTCCACCGATGCTTCTAGGAAGAAAAAGAGCAAAGAAAAAGAACAGAGGACGCCCAACAATGAAGAGCAAAAGACAAGCGCAGATGGGAAAAAACGGGGCCGGAAGCCGAAGGAGAGGCCTCCAGAAGTTTTTCCTAAAGACAGAGAGATCATCCTGGGAAAAATTAACCATAAGAAAGCCACTGGATCGTGGCCGGTGGCAAACTGCCTCCTGGATGGGAAGGATAGAGGTAACAAGTCCTTCCACGCCAAGAAAGGGGGGGCTAATAAGATGCCAGAGAAATAAGCAGAGGGGGCAGAAAAAACTCTTTAAAGGTTAGTTTACAGGGTGACGGGTGACCGGGATGTTCCTTCCATGGCTGAGCCCCTCCCCGTTCTGCTCCCTTTTAATTAAAAAAAAGCATAAATGACAAACCACTTTAAAGCCTGAACACAGACATTGGGTTTTACCTTGGAAGAGGAACTCAACCCGCTGGTGTGACTTCTTCCGTCAGAACCCCGCCTGGATTGTATATAATGCCAGCCCTGGTGGGCAGCCCCCGGTTTGCAAACTGCGTCCACGTCTGGGTTGGCTCACATGGCGAGGGGGTCAAAAGAGACGCTGCAGGAGCAGGAGAGTGAAGTGCAATAGGTAAAGCTTTTCCTTCTCTGTTGTGGATTGCTTTTCGGGTAGCGGACATGTGTTAGGAAACAGAGCGCGTCGGAGTTCCGCAAACGAAAACAAATGTTGTGGTTGTGGTTGAAAACCCAGCTTACTTTTATAATTTTCATAGGAAATGCATTTAAAACAAAATCTGAGATTGTTTGACAATGAACAGTGGGAGGCTGGGGGGTTGGGTTGGGTTTATTATTATTAAATACCCTGATTTTGAAAATTTTTGTTGGTTTTTATGGTCCAACCAGAGAAAAAACCAAGAGGCTGGTGCTCTGGCCGTAATTTGGATGACAAGGCTTTGGAAAGAGAAACATTTGGGGAAAGTGTTATTGGAGAAGGGAACTTTTGGCATTAAGATGCTTTTGGAAGTTTTCTCAAAGAGGGAGATTTAATTGTGGAAAATACAGGGCCCTTCTGTGAAACCCTTTTTTTAGTTAAGCTTTGAAAAGAAGGTGGAAAAAATGCTTTTGAAAATATCCCAAGGAGAAAGCTCTTGCTAAGTCGGTTTAATGAATTAATTAATTAATCTGTCAATTTTTTTTCTGTAATGCTTGGAAACGCATTGGTGTGGGATCGTACAGTTTGCTATATGTTGCTGATATGTATATTACATTGATGCAATGTCTTTGATCCCCACCATCTATGCCTAGAGTTGAACTCAAAGGCAGGGATGGGTGAATATATGCATTTGGGTTTTCTCCATTTCTCATTTGTGCAGATCAATCTGGTTCCTTGAAACTGAGATTTTTTTTTCTTCGAGTTTGCACTAAAATTTGTATGCACTTGAGTGCACATTTCTCCAAGCATAAACATTTTTGTCTGCATTTTTCCTAACATGCTCTGTTTTTGCAGTTATTGCAAATGCATATTTGTACATTATTTCATGAATGCAGATGTTATTGTGTAGTCTTCTCCCTAAACAACGATGAAATGCTTTGCAAAGTTTGAGAAAGTGTGGATTTCAAATGAGAATAAAGTTTCAGTCCTTGTATTAGTTCAAATATGCCAACTTAGCAAAGGTAGCATTCAAATGCCCCATTCTTAATCTGATCTGCCTTTCACACATACCACTATAGGTATATTTGAGTTCACAATGTGGACCCAGGAATTCCTAGAAAAAGTTGGCTGGCATTTTTCCAAAGAACTTGCTTTCTGCTTTGTCCTAAAGCATCAAATTTAGCTTACCTGTAACTCTCAAAGTGGCGGTAGTCCTATATTTGAACTGTACCACTTTCAGCTGTGGGGAGGTACAGGAATTTTTCTCCATGCAAAACAACAGCTAGGTTGTAAAATACAAGTAATTCTTGGTTAATGACAGTAAATTGGGACCGGCAACTTTGTCACTAAGCAGCGTGGTTGTAAAGCATGTCATGTGACTGCACCGACTTACGACAGTTCCAGTTGCCATTGTTAGGCGAATCCCATGCAGTTGCAGCACTCCACAGCCACATGATCTCCATTTGCATCCTCCTGCCAGCTTCTCCATTGACTTTGCTTGTTGGAAGCCAGCAGGGAAGGTCGCAAATGGCAATCATGTGACCACGAGACACTGTGATGTCATAATTGCAAGCCAGTTGCCAAGTGCCTGAATTGTAATCACATGACTGCGGGGACACTGCGATGGCTGCAACTTCGAGGACCTGTCATAAATCCCCCTTGTCCAGTGCTGTCGTAACTTTGAATGGTTGCTGAATGAGTGGTCGTTAACCGAGGACTCCCTGTAGAGCATTCCAACTGGAACACAGCAAACCGCCCTGTTCTGGACAATTTGCTCCTGTAAATCACCATCTTTTGATAATATCCTTAGTTTTGTGTAGTTTTTAAATTGCCTTTCTTTTTCTTTTTTTAACCCTGTATCCTGCCCAGAGACCATCAGCATTGGGCAGGATCTAAATAAATAAATGCACCGGCCAATGCTGGGATATTTGGGTCATATAAAAATAAATATATGACCAAATAAAAATCCTGGGCGGAACATGGAATGTTTCCCCCTATTTTACAAATCTTTGCAAAACCATTCCTGTCTCTATAAGTACTTGACCTTTCTATCATGTGAGCCCCCCGTGCGCAGCGTTAAGTGGTGTCGCTCACCCTCATAAGGGCTTTACAATAACTTTGGTGTGAGCTACGCAAGTGTTTGAGGTGAATAGGGCTGTTCCTCCTGCACTTTAAGGCAGCTGTGTCTTTTCCTAGGTTAGGGCAGCAACTAACCTAGGAAAAGAAGCAGCTGTATTAAATCTGCTTTAAAGTGTTGGAGCTGATGCTACGTTTATGCTCCTGTGTACCTCAAAGCACTGCACAGCTCTGTTAGGGATACTCTGCCCTGATGGCAGGCTAGGGCCAGCTTTTGGAAAGCTCTTAGCAAGAGGCATTGTGTACCTTGGCTGCTGCTTCTGAAAAATATTGAAGGAATAGAAATCTCAATCCAGTCATTGTGTAGAAAAGTCTCTGCCACCCAGAGTCATTGGGAGTTGGGCAGCATACAAATGTATTGATTAATTCAATAAACCTGGTGCTCTTCAGGTCTGTTGGGGTGGCAACTGCATGCTGGCTAGGAATTCTGAGAGTTGCTGCCCCAATACGTAGGTGAAATGGGCGGCTATATAAATTGAATAAATAAATACATCTCGAGGATGCTGGACTGGGAGAAGCAAAGGGGTTGAGGGAATAGGCATTTTTTTGGCAGTAGGTCAAGAATGAGTCTTGCATCTCCCAGGATGTTGGATCTCAGCCCTGGATCCCATGCCTCCTCAGGGCTGGTATAATATTTGTACACATGAAGTGCTAGCTTTGGAGTATGTCCCTAATTCTGTTGACCTTCTCCAGTCAATGAAGTTTAGCCATATAGACTGTGGTCAGAGCCATAGCTGATTTTCCACCGGCGCTGTATCTGCACTGAGCAAAAGGTGCTGATCCCCTTCTCTCTGTACAGAGAGGTCTTGCTGCAAGTATCTTCCAGGGATGTGGCTTCTCTAAGATTTAGGCAGGCCAGCTGGCCAAAAAGTCCATCTAGAAGACAACCTTGGCAAGATCATCTTCTCAGTGCAAGCAAGGAGGCTTTGCAGTGGGCTGTGTTTGCTGCAGATAGATCTACCCTTGCCGAAAATGTTCCCTGGTTATGACTAGCTTCCACTAACAGGAGCTTCCCTGGTAATGACTCCCCTCCATTGGCAAGGGCTTCCAACTTTTTTAAGGGCCACCTGGTCCAAGCAGGGCTCCAGCTCTCGCATGCCAAGATGTTCTAAGGCTTTAACAGTCCTGGTCATAAATGGAACAATTCCCATCCTGGTGTCTCTGCAGCAGTGAAAAAATGACATTTCTTCATTCTTTGTGTAATTAGAAAAGTTGTAGCCGTGCTACCTCCTCTCCCTGACTCTTAAAATAGTGACCCACCCACCTGGCAGAATGTCTATCCAGTGCAAACCCATCATTTTCAGATTCAGAAGATCCACATTGACTTCTTGTCCTATATGTTCCATAACTACCTTAACTTTCTGAAAAGCAACATAGGACCAAGATTGAGCTGGAAGACACTGGACTTTCTAATACTGTTTCATCACAGTGTGGAATTATTTCCCAGAAACAATTACCTCTTTGTGGGCAGTTCCACACAAGATGTGTGGGTAGACATACTAGGAGAGGCATGGATTTTGTACATCCAGGTTTGTCTAGCTATGAAGGAATTGCACTTGTATTAGTCATAAACTCCATTAATGAGAGCATAGCGGTCTCACGCTGCCTGTGCCTCCAATCCTGATCCTGCGTGTAAGATGCTGGTGTGCTCATCTGGAAGAAGTCAGGTTGGGTCCTCTGAATCTCAAAAACACAGATCTGTATACTGTGGGCATTTCATAATTAATAGGAATGCCAGATATTAGAGTTCATAATTTCACAGATTTGGTTCCTTTTTGAAAGCCTGCAAGGGAGGGAATATAATCTAAGGCGAGGATCCAGAATCTAGGAGAACAATATGGTGCTTGGTTTGAAAGCTTTGGGCCTCTACAGTATGTCCGATGTCTCTACTCATGGTAGGTTCCATCTTGAAGTAGAAGATGCATGTAGATTTATCTTCAAGTTGGCCAAAAGATAAGTCTCTTCCTACGTTCTCCATCACTAATCCATAAAATTCAAGCTGTCATCCTTAGTGTCTTCCTCTTTGCCTATACTCCACTTGTCATATCTCTGGAAACCCTAACTTAGCACTACCATCTCTTGGCTGCAAAAAATCCAGATGACACCCCCCACCTCATCATTGCTATCCAGTGGTTACTTGGAGTTTTGGAGCCTATATGGTAGCCCTACCCAAATTATGAATTTCATTTCCCATTGGGGTGGCCACATTAATTTGTTGCAGCAAAACCAACTAAACTCACTCTTAGTTGGACTTGTTGAATACTTAACAAATGTATTATGATGGAAGTTTTAAGGTGCTTCTAGAGCAGTGTTTCTTAAACTTGGCAGCTTTAAGATATGTGGACTTCAACTCCCAGAATTCCCTAGCCAGCAAGCTGGGAGTTGAAGTCCACACATCTTAAATTTGCCAAGTTTGAGAAACACTGCTCTAGACTCTTCATTATACTCAACAGCTTCTTTCCACGTTTGGGGCAAAATAAATTATTGGGCTGGACCATGGATTACATGCAGCTAGAATATTCATGAAATCGTCCAATGAAAATGCATTGGAATACCACTCCTAGACTTCCCAACCAACCCCAGATTGGGAAGATGGGCATATAAAAAGTTAGTCTCAGTACTCAGGTTGCCCACATCTGCTTGAGTTTAGGACCACTATTCCCAGTTGTCCTGGTGTTAATTTTATCTCTATAGAGAGGATTGACATTAAGCAACCCATAAGTAGCAACTCTGTGACTAGTAGGAACTATGAAGGCAAGTGCTTGTGTGGGAGATCAAAATGTTGTCAGCCAGTAACCTTTGTGGATATTTACAAGATTGGGGTCACCCATAATTGAGTGTATAGTCTGGTCCAGTGTTTCTCCACCTTGGCAACTTTAAGATGTGTGGACTTCAACTCCCAGAATTTCCCAGCCACACCTCTTGAAGTTGTCAAGGTTGAGAAACACTGGTTTGGTCATTTGGTAAAGGAGAAAGCGAAAGAGAAATGAGGTCTGAAATCTGATTTTATTTTGTTCTGTTGACACACTAAAAAAGTATAGTTCAGAACTGCAGGGAATTGCCTACAATCTCTGTAATAAGTGCAAGTGGAAGTGATGTTAGGCAGGGCTTTCATGTTCACCTAATGGAAGCTGTGTTGCCTGTTTTTCACTGCTGTGGAAATGTTTAGCACATTAGAATTGTTTGGGGGAAGAAGTTGATCTCTGTGGAGAAAGGGGCACTTGTTTTGGCTGGCAACTTCTTTTGGGCAATGCAAGCCTCTTCGTGCAGTGCTGTACAATAATATATATGCTTAAAGGATATGGACGTGGTGCTTTTCCTTCAAACATTGGTAGTGCTTTGAACTGAATGTCAGGCCATCGCAGAGGAATCGTGAGCGTTTCTGACCACTTTGGTCCTCACATTTTGTTGAACATGGGCTCTGTTGTGCCTTGTGGACCACTGCATTATCTTTTTTTTAACGGCCATCATGAACCGTGATGTTTGTAAAGATTCCGGATTTAGCTCTTCCCCATCCCCTGTTGCTGCAAACAGGAAAAAAAAAATCCACATGGTGGAGAATTGACCTTCAGGCTGGTTTTTACTTACTTTGTTGTTGTAGTTATTTGTGTTTTGCAATTTGTATTGCTGAAGAGGCAAGCTACTTCTCCATTGCATTGTACACTTGGGGGTGTCTTGCCTCTTTGGCACACAGTGGAAATGCCAAAGAAATGTTCAGTATTTCCTTCTCTTTTCCTGAAGTTTAAGAATGTCTGAGTTAGGACTTTATGAGAGCATTCCATAGTAAATAAACTCCTTAATAAAAAGAGAAATGATGAGCGGCATATAAATTTAATTAAATAAATAAATAATATGGAATGCAGGCTATTTCTGAGTGATATTTCATGCAGATTTTTGTTCTCTTGTAAAGCCTGAATTATTATTATAAATCACTGAGCCATCTCCAATCTGGGTCTCTCTAGATATGTTTGAATTATAATTCTCATTGCTTCAAGTAGGTCATGCTAAACAGGGTCAGGAAAACTCTCACCTAAAATTAATATTAAATGCTTGGTAGAATAAAAAGTTCAGGTATAATATGTGATTATATAAAGTGGTAACATCTATGTGACAGTACAACTGAAAACCATTTCACCTTTAAAAATCAAGCAGTTGATAAAGGAGGCAGGAAAAATCTAGCCATAATGGGTTGAGTTTGTCTATTAGGAAGGAACATTAATTAATCTCTTAGTCTTGGACTTTTATCCTCAGACTCGTGCGTGTGTTGGTATGCCCAAGCATGCATGATGGCACTATGCCCTTTTTTCTTTCTCCCTCAACATCTCAAAAGATGAAATGTTCTTTATAAAGGTCTTGCAGCCCCTCAGAGCACAAT